CGTTTACTAGAATTTGTTCTGGGTGCTACAAGAGCACAGAAATAGATAAGTGCAGTGAATAGGCCATTGTATCTTATTGGATTTAATGACTGATTGATTGATCATATGCCACCAAGTCATTGTCAACTCTTACATAGATAAATTTTCTCCATGACAATCTGTCCCTAACCTGATCCTTTAGGTTTTCCAATGGCTCATCTATCGCCACTGTAACTGAGTCCATCCAACTTGCTGCTGGTTGTCCTCTTCTTCTCTTTCCTTCCACCCTTCCCAGCATTAGAGCCTTCTCCAGAGACCTGGGTCTTCACATAATGTATCCAAAGTAGAATAATTTGAGCCTGGTCATTTGTGCCTCAAGGGAGAACTCTGAGTTGATTTGTTCAATGATTTTTTGTTTGTTTTCTTGGCTGTCCGGGGTATTCTCAGGAGTCTTCACCAAAAGCATCAATACTCTTCCTATCCTGCTTCTTTAAAGTCCAACTTTCACTTCCATAGAGTGTCACAGGGAATACCATGGTTGGCATATTCTGATATTTGCAGATATAGAGACATCACAGCATTTGAATATCTTTTCCAAGGCTTTCGTGGCTGCTGTACCAAGTGTTAGTCTGCAACATACTTCTTGACTTGTTCCTTGACTGTTGATGGTTGATCCTAAAAGGCAGAAGCTATCCATCACTTCAATATCTTCATTGTCAGTTCTAAGTACCTGTTGTCATTAGTTCGGTCTTCTTTATATTTAATTTTAAAATCATTTTTTCACTGAGCTTCTTACTTTTATTAGTAGAGCTTGCAGTGCAACATACTAGGCTATAGTTGACTTCTGTTGAGATGGCAATGCATGAGGCTGGATGTTTGTGAGCACCATATGATAATTTAAAATTTTATACCATAAACATTGGGGTTAATTGAAGCATTCAGCATTAGCCTTAGTTTTGGTTTGTCTGTGATAAGCTAAGTTACTGCAGAAATATGATGGGCTGTTAACAAAGTATGTAAACTAAACATGGATCTTAGCTCACAAAAAAATATTTTAGCTCTCCCAACAATAATACAGGCAGTCAGTTAATAAAGCTGAAGGTATGCAGGAAGATGGAAGAATGACTGAGAATAATACAGAAATGAGAAGGAAGGCTGTTATTATTTAAATACTTAAAGAAGTGGTTATCATTGACTAAGATTAGAGTCAGACTCTGCAATAGCAGAGGAATATAAAGAGGGAGGTGTGGAAGAGCAGGCTGTTGAGAAACAATTGCAGTTGCCTGTGATGCTTCCCTTCCCTCCTATTTGAGCCTTCTCCCCAGTGTCAGCATAGCAGAGGTGCCAATAAAGCTGCAACCTTGAAACAGGTAGGGGAGGAGATGCATGTGGTTTGGAAGCTCTGCAGCAGCAACAACAAACAGAGAAATCAGCCAAAAGAAGGAGATTTTTTTTCACAGAGACTGAAGGGCCCAGAGGAAAAAGAGGAGGCCAAGCAAACGGTTGGAAAGGTGCACGTGCTTTACATGCTGCCGTTAATAAAGAAGAAAAAATAATAGAAGAAATCCCACAAAGACAGAGGATTTAAAGATAGACCAGGATCTCTAAGAGTAAAACACTGTTGTATATTACTACTAATAATATAATAGCAATAGTAAGAGTATACTAGTAATAGTATAATATAGCATAGAAGTAGAACAAATAGTATAAAGTGTAGTATAGTAGAATATAGTGTAGAGAAAATTGTATAGTATCATTAGTAATAGAAATAGAGTGTAGGATAAGATAATAGTCGTAGAAAGAACTTGCATATATATATTTGTATATTTCACTTTTGTATCCTGGACAGTTTTTTTCAAAATAAAACATCTCCCCAACCCTCATAGGGAGATATAAAAATCCAAGTATCTAGGGTATAGTGATTTTGGGGGACCTTTTGAGTCTGGGTCAATCAAATTGGGTACAGTTTAAAAAGAACCCATGGCAGGAGGAAGATAAGCCACGATTAGATTTTTTTCCCCTCCAACAAGACTGTCATCTAACTCTCCTTTAGCCAGTGTCTCAGTTGAAGACTCTACAGTTCTGTCTTCCCATGACTGATCATTAGGGCCTTGTTGTATGTTTACAACAGAACCAGTCAGAACAGGAATAAATCTAGCCAAGGAACCAGCAATCTTATATACTGACCATGAATAGCCCTCCCTCAGAGGGGAACCAGACTACTCTAAGAGGTGTCAAGATTTGAGAAGATAAATGATCCTCCAATTTCATGCTTAACAATTGGAAATTCCCACTGTAATAAATCATTAAGATTAGATTTGCTAATGCTAACAGATATACTGTATTTAGCAAACAACAAGATTTAAATAACCTTGCCTCCACTTGGGCACATGATATCTCCATGATGAAATCCTTCTTAGTAGAGTGTAATGATTTAGTACTAGAGCTTGCAAATCCTTTGTGTTTTTGTGTCATCAGCATGGCACAGATTATTGATATTTCTTCTTCCATTTTTAAAATCAGGCTCATCTTCTCCAAATAAAGCTTCCCTTAATATATATTCTGCATATAAGTTGCATAAATAAGGGGAGAATATACAGCCTTGTTTCACTTCTTTGCCAACCTGTAGCCAGTCTGTTTCACCATATTCTGTCTGTATTGCAGCTTCCTGACCTGTATATAAGTTTCTCATGAGGGCAATGAGATGTTCTGGGATTCCCATTTTTCTAAGCACATTTCATAGCTTGACATGATCAACACAACTGAAGGCCTTTCTGTAATCAGTGAAGCACATAATTTCTTTTTGGTATTTCTATGGCTTTCTTAATTATCCAGAGTGCATTAGCAATAATGTCTTACTTTCTTCAACCTTTTCTAAAGCCAGCTTGAACATCTGGCATCTCTTGTTCCATGTAGGGCTGTAATTTGTGTTGAATGATCCTAAGCATTAATTTGCTAGCAAGTTAAATTAAAGCTATTGTACTACAGTTTCCACACTCCATTAAGTCTCCATTTTTGGAATTAGAGTGTAGATTGACATCTTCCAATCAGTTGGCTGCTGTGTCATTCTTCAGATTTGCTGGCATAGTTTGATTAGACATTGGACGTAATATTTGAGATTATATACTACTTGTCAGGCTGATAAATTGTCAGATTTATATTTTAAGAAGATCGAAAGGTTCAGGTTGGGGGCAGATAATTCTGGAGAAGGTCTATCTGTGTTGTTGTTAAGAGTTAACTTGATGGCACATAATCATTTAAAATATCTTTTAAGTATTATTGTATATTGATCTTCCCTATCTTTATTTAATATGACATGAATAGAGGAAGCCATCTGACAGTTTGGAGTTTGGTCTCATCAGTACATACATACACACACACACACACATCAAATTTGTCACTGCCCATCTCATTGAAATGACTCTGGGCAGTTTACAGCAAAGATAAAATTCATTAAACTACAATATAAAAGAATCCTAATAATAACTTCCAAGAAAGATGGAGAGTTGATGAATAACTCAAGGAGTGTCGTCAGGGCACTAACCGCCCCTGGGGGACAGTTAGAGCTCATGTCACCCATGTACACTGACAGGTCCTTAATCCTTTTCAGAAAGCCGGGATGATAGGGGCCCGCTGCACCTCTGGGGGGAGAATATTTCAAAGGGCAGGGGCAACAGCAGAGAAGGCTCTCCTCCTGGGCCCTGCCAGCTGACATTCTCTCTCTGACAGTGTCCGCAACATGCACTCTCTGCCTGACCAGGTGGGACCAGTTGATGTAATGGAGATGAGGCAGTCCCTAAGGTAACCTGGACC